GGAGGGACGGAGGGACGGAGGGAGAGAGGCTTTAAACATTAAGAAATGAAAACCAGCAGATGGTAATGACTATACATAAGCTACTCTGCGGAGAACACTAGGGCTCCTGGGAGGCTTTAGCTTTTGTACAAAATATGATTGGTGTGAGCCTGGCTAGCCTTCCAGCAGAGCACAGATGTGTGCTTGCAGCTGTCCTATCCCGAGGTGGTAAGGAGGAAACCAGATCCTGTGTCTAACAAGCAACTGACTACACAGAGGAAGCTGACTTCCTTAGCAGGGCCTGGGACTAACCTTTGACCCAAGAGTCCTGAAGTGCTTCACATCTGAGGACTCGGGCTGATCTGCAACAGACTACAACAGACTGTTTTGATGGAGGCCCCACGGAACCAGAAACACTGGGAACATTTTTGCTCCTTTTACACATGGACCCTCTTCCAGAAGATAATGAATGCAACTTTTAATTAAAGCACACCCACATGAGCCAGGCAGCTTCAGTATGTCAGAAAGGACACAGAGTTTACAGGGTGGGTGTAGGGACAGAGTCTCCCCAGACCTGGCTGTGGAGTGCAATAAATGTGGCTCTCACTCTCATTCCAAAAAGAAAAAAAGAAAAACTGTTCTAATGATTCTGTAAGCTGTACTAGAACAAAGTGAGATACTGTGAGACACTGTGAGGGGAAGTAGAGTTCTCACATGCTGAACAAGAAGGTCAGCTTCTTCACTGTCACTGTGTTTTAACTCTTTCCAACTCCTTCATTTAGAATGACTTACACTTTTAATCCATTAAGTAGTTGTTATACATTCCATTTAAGGACAGACCAATTTAGGCCATCATTTCCCCAGAGGCTATCTACAGAGTGTCCCACAGTGTGAGCTGATCTGATGGCACAATTGATGAGCAGATTCTCCAGTTGGTCATCTTACATTGTGTCAGTCTAGGTAGTTACTTAATAAATGTTTATGCACTAAATAAATACATAAGTAAACAGCCTCTAATTAAGCCATAAGTTGTAAGCAGGAAGGGCAGAGATTAAGTGAGGAATCAAATCACGTTGAGTTCAGAACCTTTTTTGCCATTACGCTGGTAAACAACATTAGAAAGACAGTTCTCTATTTTCCTCAGCAAGTTTGCTCATTGTTAAGTAGAAATGCTAGCAGATTGATGTAAGCCTCTCATGAAGCCTGAAGGAAAAGAAACATGCAAATAAGAGTAAAAGCAACCAGAAGTAAGGATTGTTTACTGGTGGCAAGAATCCAAACAATCATAAGAGAACTGTGCCATTTGACTTCACTTGTTTATACCCATAGATCACAAAATGTAAATATATATATATATGTATATATATATATATATATACATATATATATATATCAGAATAAATGAATGAAAAATAACAAAACTGGGAATAAGTACCTAGTCTCAGTTTCATCATGACCTATGGTTGTGACCTTAAGCATTTCACCTAAACCCTAAACCCTGTGGTCACATTCAACTTAGCAACAAAGGATATAGGTCAATATTTTTAAGAAACTGAGAATCAATTAAAATAATTTCTTAATCATGCTAATTACAGCACCAGTGGACAGAGGGTAAATGCCAATCAGAGTTTGCAGTGTTTGGTCAAAAGCCATGAAACATGCAGTCTGGCAAGACAACATCTGTGCTTTCTTGCCTGTCCTGTATGTCTTTTGTTGAAAATTTTAAAATAATGTGGACTTCTCCAAACTATCAACTGATTGTAGTAGTGGGGTTCATAGTTTGAGCCTTTTCACTCACTCTGCCTTGGTAGCACATCTGGGCTGAGTCTCTGAAACATGAGCTCCACAGCTGCATTGTGACAGAGTCTGCAAAGGAGCCTGATGTGGGGCTCTGCTCTCTCCACTTCTTCTGTTGTAGCAAAAGTGCCTCTTCCTCACAGAAAAGATACAGAAAGACAGCTCTGACTTTTATGTTTCTATAGTAAAGTGTGACCCCTATTCTAATGGAGACCTATGGTTTGCAGCTATCCTCAGTCTCACCACACTATGCTGATGAGACTTTCAGGGGAATTTCTATTGGAGTGTGGGCCATACACTGAGAAAACCAAGATTCACACTTTTGCCTTTTTATAACTAAATATACTTGTTAAGATTCACTCCAAAAATATTTAGATTTTCCAACAGGCTACTTATGGAAGTAAAATTATTCATCTTTAAGCAGGAACATGTCCAGCCCATTATAATGACACACTTTGAAATTCAGAATAATCAAAAATGATAAACCGACTCTCATATTTTTTTCAAATATTGACATGCCTTGGCAAAGAAATGAAAGTTGCACAGAGGAAGCAAAGGGAAACTTGATGTTAGAAAAGTGCAGTTGCCTAAATGGAGATATTGACAGAAGAGTACAGCAGAGAAACAACTTGAGAAGAACAATGCTCTGTGCAGTGATGAGAATCAGGTTCTGTACAGCAGAGAATGCAGGTTGCAGTCAGCAAGACACAACACCATAGATGTCACAGTTGTGCCTCAGTGTCCAGCTGTCATCCAAAACGAGAAAGAGATTGTGGAGATGAGAAAATACTTAAAGAATGGTTGAAATTTCCTGGTGGGAAAAAAATGCAAACCTGCTAAAAAGAACTCAACGGCATGAAGCCACAAGATTACTAAGCAAAAATCACCATAATCAATACAGAAACTAAAACCAGAAAATCATTGAAAGCAGGAGAAAATGCTATACTACTTACTGTGAGGAAAACACAAAGCTGGATCAAGGTGGGATACTATGTAAAAACTTTAAGTGAATCAATTCATCAACTTAGTTTCCTATAATCAGGGAAGACATTGTTTTAATGAAGGGGAAATATATTCTAAATTGGGGCATACCTAAGACGTTTCCTACTGCTGCGGCCTCCTGTGAAGAAATGGAGAAATGAAGCACTTGAGGTCAGAAAGAAAGCTGTGAACTTGAAGGGTCAGAAGAAAGACAGAGCCTTGGGAGGATGGGTAAAGGCCAAAGGCCTCAGACGCTTCTGCCTTCTAGTTCCAGCTACACAGAAATCCGAAGAACAACTTAGTGTCTGATGTGGCTTAGTGTGTGTAGGGACAACACTTGAGACAGCTGTACCTTTGATGGGAGAGGAATGTCCTCTATGCTTGTAGTTACTTTGTTTCTTGTGGAAAATCGTGTTAGTAAGTGTCATAAGCTACATGTGCTTATTGCATAGCACAGAGCAGCAGTGGAGTGGATGATAAAAGAGATGTAAGGAAAGAATGAAAATGAGTAAAAAGATAACTAGGAAAGTGTCCAAGGCACACACGGGGAAGGAATAATGGAGAGTGAAGGAAGAGAAATGTGAACATAGAGAAATAAAATTAGGGGGTAAAAATATTTATATAGCAATAACTCTACAAAATATTCTACTCTTCTCAGCCAGAGTTAAGATATAATAAATGATGGATTAACATGTAGGAAAGATCATTTAAAAACATTACTCAAGAGTGTTCTGTGTAGGTAATGGTAGCAGAAAATTACTACAGGTAAAAAGCAACATTACATTACAGAGAAAGATGATCTTCGCACCAAAACCACCTAACAACTACATATTGGTCTCAAATAAGTACACCACACACACACACACACACACACACACACACACACACACACTGAAAAGATGAGTGAGGGAGAGTTGGGGACAAACAGGCAAACTCCTTGTGATGTTTCAGATTTCAATGTACATTTCCCTGTAGTTGATAAAATCAGTATATGCAGACTCAGCAAGGACATAGAATAAACAATTATCAATAAACAGATAAGTGATATTATTGAAAATTCATCAAAAGAACTGTTAGTGTGTGAGCGTGTTTTGTGCTTGAGTATTTGATTAACTAATTAAATGAGCAATGAGCACTTATGTAAACATTTGTTAAAGCAACAGTGCTTATTTATCAAGACAAACTATCAACTCATCCATCAACTTTGACAGATTTAAAACAATTGAGATCATGCATAGTGTTTTGTCACACCATAATCGAATAACAAGGGAAATAGTTCATTCAAAGATAATAAAGTCTTTGGCACAGAGAGATTTCTCTTAAATAAAGGCCCCAATTAAAAATGGGCTAAATTGACAGGAAGCATCAGCCTGAAGCCGTATCCTCCTGTAGATTTTTCTACAGTTCTGGAATAGGTCATGGTACAACCAGAAACCCTCTCCCTTTCTTACCGGCTGGATCCCCAAATGCAGATATGACACAACTAAATCAAACTGGAACAAGTTGCCCACAAATGGCAGGCGCCGGGGTCCTGGAGGGTAGTTCTTGGGGCGTTTGTGTTTGAGGTAGTCAGCCAGGAGCAGCAAGGGAAGAAGAGTGAGCAGCAGAGTCCAGAGCTGGATTGCAGACCGTATTTTATCCACCAGGGAGCTCAAAGTGGCAAGCATGGTGAGAGTTTGAGCTGACAGTACTGACAGCCCTCTGCTAAATTCCACCCTGTTCCTTGCTAACCAAGCCTGTCTCTCAATGTCTTTCCAGAACATATCTATTCTGCTATGCTCACTTTATTACTATTGGCCCCACCCCCTCTCTGTGCCCTGCCCCTATCCTCAGCTATGAATAATACTGGAGGCATAAACAGTGTCCTCTGCTCCTCTTCACCTTTACCCAAAGTACTCTGCACTCTGCTCTCCTGAGTTTGTCATGGTGTGTCTGCTCTGCACCTTACCACAAATCATGCCAATATGTAGTTATTGTATTCACACCCCTAGATCCCTGACACTTTGTTCCCAGAAACTCACACCTAATATGGTTTAAAAGAGATGGGTAAATGGTCCTGCTGCAGTCATGGGCCAAGTTGTTGTCTGTGGTCAGTGCTGCATCTGGGACCATGTAGATGTGACTGCCCTGTGTTGCCACCTCAGTCCATGTTGATATTTGTAGGCTGTCCTGCTGCCAAGGGCCATATGGAGTCTGTGATGCTGCTGAAGCCTGGGGCCATGTGATGTTCACACTCCTTGTTACCACTGAAGGTCACATGGATGTCCCTTCTATACGCTGCTTGCTGAATTCATGTTAATGTTCATGGGCTGGGGTGTCACCAGAGATCATATTAGTATTCATGGTTCCTGTTACTCGAATACCATAGTTATGTCCACATCCTGTGCTGTTGGGAGGGGCTGTGATTGTTTCTGTGGCCCTTGCTATTCAAGAGGGCTTTGTTGATGTCCAAAATCTGTACTGCCACAGTCTATACTTAGATCTCTACCACACGCTGACACCAGAGTACATGAGAATGTCTGTGTTCCATATTGCCACCTGAAACCATGTGGAAATCTATGATCCACACTACTACTGACTAAAAAGGATGAGGTACCACCCACTCTCAAAAAAAAAAAAGAAAGAAAAAGGAAGGAAAATTCTAGATTGGAATCCATAAAGAGAACTCTTCAAAAACTTGATAGATATACCAATGTGTAGCTCTCCGTAATTGATGTATTCTGGCCTGTGTATGTATGGCAGGGGTGGGGTGGGGGTGGTGGTGTACTTTTCTTTACAGAGCTTCTTGGAGTTATACCATACTCCAGTGACTACATGGGCAAGAGAAATTGGATATTTTCTTTTCATTTTTAGGGTCAGAGGTCAAACATTTGGAGGACAAACCTGAGAGGGGTGCACCATGTGTGTAATCTGAGTGCATTACATGAGTTTCCCAAATATTCAATAAGAATATTATTTTGGGGGCTGGTGTTGAGAATACCTGTTAAAGGTAGTTACTTTTTTGGAAATTCATTCTCCTAAGCATTTTTGTGGCTCTGGAAATTGTGACTTACATTTCCCAAAAGATTCTGGTTTGTAAGAAAGATTTCTCCAGTGGTGGCAACCTTCCTGAGAAGTAATACTACCATGGACAGAGTGAAACCTTGCAGTTTTGGCCTCACAGTATTGCAGATGCCTCTATTAACAAAGTCCATCAGTCTCTCTTTTATTCTTTCTTTCCTTTTTATGATTGATTTTGAACATTTAAAGCATTTTACTTATCTGTAGAGCATTGAAGACAATATACATTGATCAATGCTTTCCCCCAAATCCCTCCAGATCCTACCCACCTCTTTACCTACATAATTTCATGTGTTTTCTCTTTTAAACCAAACAACTTTTTTTAAAGTGTGTGTTTGTGTGTGTCTTGAATTTTCTGAGACAGATGGAGGCTCAGACAACACAAATCAATCTCAACAGAGCAATTCCTGATGGATTAATATGGCCTGAAGAGGAGAAGAACTACAGATGTCCAGGGAGAGAAAAAAAGGACTCATAGCAAAATAAGAGTGCTGCATGGATGAAAAGCAGAGCTGATGAGCCAGTGGATGCAGAAGGCTGCAGGGGGCAGAAGGAGAAATGTTTGGGTAGGAATAAGGGTTTGTGGAAACCACCTGACAAAACAGCCCATGACAACTGGGTTGTTCAGGAGAAATTACTTAATGGAGTCACGTAATTGTACACCTATTACACTGCACGGTACCATGATCAGTTGAGTGCTAAGAAAAAATGTCAAGAATATTTGTATTAAATGACTGCAAGTCTGGTCAACTTTCCATAGAATCACAAAGAAAGACTGACTCAAGATATTTGAAATCAGGTAGTTATTATTCACAGCAGTTCCTCCAGGATAACAAGACCATTGCTGTGATGAAACAGAAAAGCTATGATCACCTGCTTGATGTCTTTGATATATGGAACCTTTTGTCATTGACTCAGGGAGAGATAGGAGAGATAGGAAATATTCATGAGGTTGAGTAAGGCTTCTCACTGAGGTTACATAGTTGGTAAACAGTGCTAGGTGGTGCCACAAGAAGGTGTTGATTTGTTCAGCTGTCTGAGAGTCAAACAGGAAATTTCAGGGTTGCCAAGGACCAGCCTCAGCTTTGCAGAGGAGTTATGAGAGAATGGTTGTCTGGGAGTGAGGAAAAGAAGGACTAGAAATCAAATCGTGAATCCAAGCTGAAGACCTGTGTTCTGCTTGATACAGCTTTCCAGTCTGCTTCTCTTTATGTTCTGTATTCTCACTGGAGATTTCTCTGTCTATATTCTCCTTGGTTGCTATTCTAAGAGATCTCTGTCCCTGTCCTGCTTCCACAAGCACATGCATGTGTGTGTGAACCTGTTTGTGTATCTCTGTTTGTACATACACATACTCATCTGTCTGTTCCTATGTGTCTGTTTACAAGAACTACTTTTTTTTATCCTAAAAAA